AGAGAGGCCAGCTCAGCCCACCAGGGGGCAGGGCCGGCTGGCATGTGGCGCTGGGGGATTGAACCGCGGTCCCTGATGCTTTTGCTAAGCTTGTTCCAAGTAGGTGCTTTAGACCACTGAGCCATCTCTCCAGCCCTTGTTTGCTGTTTTGATAAAATGGAGATGAAGGGCAGAATCTTAAACACGGGGTCAGTCTTCTGTGTCTTCAGCCCTTATCACAGACATACAGTACTTCTGTGGAAAATTAGAATTTAGAAGGCTTTATTTTCTGGGTTCGCCATTAGGAATGGTTGGCATTTTTTGGCTTGAGGTATTCATTATTTCTCTGTACCCTATAATAAAGGCTATTTCTGTTTTTAGGAGCCACCAAATTATGTGTTCAATTTTATCCCAATCCTAAGGCCAGATTTGCACGACAATGAGTACACAGGGAGAAAGACTTCCTCTTTAGCCTCGTTAGGCCTCTCTTATAGCCAGGCTTTGGTTTTTGTCTCAGCTCAATAATAGTTTTGGAAGAGGTAGAGTTGTAGAAAAAGAAACATGAAAATATGGATATTTTCTCTACTGAATTAGAGCTGTTGATCTTTGATGAGGGCTATTGACTTTTCTGTAAGAATGGGTGAGGTCAGTATAACCACTTACCCAGAGGGTGTAATTTAAAGATAGAACCCAAGGAAATTGGTCCTAGTGTTAATTCTACAGAACATTTTTATTTATTTGTTTATTTAGTGTGTGTGTGGCCAGCTCAGCCCACCAGGGGGCGGGCCTGGCTGGCATGTGGTGCTGGGGATTGAACCGCGGTCCCTGTGCTTTGCTTAGCTTAACTTGTTCTAAGTAGGTGCTTTAGACCACTGAGCCATCTCACCAGCCCCTACAGAACATTTTTGACTGGCTGTGTTTCTGGGACTTACCTATTAAAATTTTCCAGTACTTATTCCAGATAGTGCTGATTTTTTTTTTTTTTTTTTTTTTTTTTGGAGACAGGGTCTACTCTGTAGTTCAAGGTAACCTTGAACTCACTGTGTAGCCCCAGCTAGTCTAGAACTCACAGCAATCCCTCTGCCTCAGCCTCTCAAGTGCTGGCATTACAGGCATGCACCACCATGCCAGGTAGTGCTGAATTTTAGTGAAGCTAATTGGCTGTTGTATAGAAAGAACACTAGCACTTTGCAGTACCCCATGCCTATAGGTGAGAGTCAGCTAGAATTGATTGTTAGTCGCTAAATTATGTGATTACCCTGAATTTTATTCTTCTCTCTTCCCTACTATTAGTTAATGAATATTTCAAAGTAATATAAAGCTTTGAGAAGAGTAAAATGTCCAGCTTTTTCTTCTGAAGTATTCTTGCACTCTCAGCTTACTAGCCTTTGTTGTTTTGGTGCTGGAAATGGAACCCAGGGCCTTGTACGTGCCAGGCAAGCCCTCTAGGCAAGCCCTCTATCACTAAGCTACATCCCCAACCCTTTTTATTGATTTTGCAGTGAGATAAGACTCCTCTACTTTTTAATTTTTATTAATATATGTTTATTAATATGTTAATATGTTTATTGATGTTATATATGTATATAGTACACAATTATTACAGTCATCATGGGGAGCTGGTATGAGGGTATAACACAGCTTAATTCTAGGAACAGGGAGATAGCTCAGTAGAATAAGCGCTTGACTAGCAAGTGTTGCAGGGTCCTGAGTTCAATCCCCAGTACTGCAAAAAAAAAAAAAAATTCTGTTTACTTCTCCTTCCTCTCCCTTCCTCCCTCCAAGAACCCTGTACTTTAAGGACCAGTTAACTGAGGAAAAGATGGTAGACTTGCAGTTACTTTTACTGTCTTGAGGCTCCTGGTTTCAAGAGCCCAGCTATGTTCGTTCTGCAGTCATCTGACAATCAGGCTATCCTTGCAAAGTCTTGCTTCTCAGAAAGAGTGAAGTCAGCTGCCTCTTGCCCAGGCTGCCTTTGCTCTTCAGCCCAATGAGAGTCGGCCTTGGTTCTGAGTGATGTCAGGGGGTCTGGGGAGATAGCACAGGGGGCTGGGGAGATAGCTCAGTAGATAAGTGCTTGCCTGGCAAGCACAAGGGCCTGAGTTCAGTCCCCAGTTCTGTCAAAAAAAAAAAAAAAAAAAATTCTGAGTGATGTCAAGTGCTGCTTGTGTTGTGAGATTATACATCCTCTGTACCTCTCTCCCTGCACTGTGCATGCTGGTGGACCATCAGTCATGCATAGCTGTTGAACTCTTGAAATGTGACTGGTCTCAGCTGAGAAGAGCTGGATGTTTAAAACACATCCCAAGGGACCGGGGAGATGGCTCAGTGGAATAAGCGCTACCCTGCAAACGCAAGGGCCTGAGTTCAATTCCCGGTTCTGCCAAATAAATAAATAAAAAATAAAACACATCCCAACTGAAGACTGGCATGTAAAAATATAAATATGCATATTGATTATATGTTGAATTGATAAAGTTTTGGATATATTAGGTAAAATCTATCAAGTTCACCTGTTTTTACTATAGTTACTAGAAAGTTTAAAGGTAAAAAAGTTTAAGGATAGTTACATAAGAAGCATGATCAAATGTGTTGTGAATAGGTGGAGGGTGGTGGCATGCACCTGTAATCCCAGAACTTGAGAGGCTGAGGCAGGAGAATCACTGTCAGTTCATGGCCAACCTGAGCTCCATAGAGAGACTCTGCCTAAAAAAAATGTGTGTGTATGTGTGTGTGTGTGTGTGTGTGTGTGTGTGTAAATTAAAACATTTATTACAATAAAAGACACATTCCTGGGCTGGAGAGATGGCTCAGTGGTCTAAAGCACCTACTTGAAACAAGCTTGGCAAAGCACAGGGACCTCGGTTCGATCCCCCAGCACCACATGCCAGCCAGCCCCGCCCCCTGGTGGGTTGAGCTGGCCACACACACACACACACACACACACAATAAATAAATGTAATAAATAAAAATAAATATTTAAAAAAAAAAAAAAAAAAGACACATTCCTGTTAGTCCTCAAAATACCCGCCCTCATGTTCAACACACTTAGCTCAGTGTTCTTGGCAGTGTACCTTGCTGTAATTTTTCACATTCACTCTATTTTTTGGTCACCCCTTGGAGTGGCCTACCTTCAGCCTCTGCGAGTCAGCACTGCTCTTGGCGTCTCCCTTCGCAGAGACCTCAGGCTCACAGGGGAACCTGCATGCCTTGTTACTGTTCTGTGCTGCGGCTCGGCTCCCACTTGAGGGAATGAAGTTGTGATCATGTTCACCTAGTGCCGCATGACTAACTGAGGTCTTGTGATTTGTCTTATTTTGCTAGTGATGATGGCCAAAGAGAAGCCACCAATAACCGTAGTTGGAGATGTGGGAGGACGCATCGCAATCATAGTGGTATGGAGATGCGTCGTTGCCCTTCCTGCACAGAGATGACACCGCGGGTTCTGTTGACTGCCTTGGGGTTGTGTTCCCTGTGGTGGTGATAGATTTCACTGGAGCCATCATCTACCCTTTCTCACCAAAGCTCCTTTAGGAAAAGTAGTAGAAACTTACACCTAAATGAATAAGGATTAAAGTGTAACTACAAATCTAAAAAGCACTGTACACCACCCCCCGAAAGATTCAGTCGCATGACATCATCTCATGGATTCTGGGTTCCCTCAGACCAGCTCGCAGTCTTTCTGCAGCTTCAGGACCATGACATGCACTGGCTGTTCCATTGCACCAGGGAGAACAGATGTTCCAGGGAAGCCTCACTTTGGATTTTGACATATCGGCACCCATCTCCAAGTGCCTTTCCTGGCTAGAGGGTCACTGGTCATTTACAGTTGCTCATTTTACTTCTATTTTCCTCTCATGCCACTTTCTCTTGGAAAAAAATAAATGGGACACTGTCTCTGTGATGAATCAGGAATTTGAAAGAAGGAAGCAAGCCTTGGCAGTCCTCTGCTCAAGCTGTCAGGTCACACACGTGACCGAGAGGCTCCACCGCCCTTTCTACCAAACACCAGGTACCGTCGAGGCACTTCTCTTGCCGTCTCTGGACATTCAGTCTTTGACCTAGGCCTGTGCTCAGACTCCCCATCAGAAACCCTCAGAAACAGTGCAGCAAAGAGCAGAGTGTGTCTTCGTAGTGTGGGGTAGAGGTGCCTGCTTCTACTAATTGTCTTCTTGCAGGATGACATTATTGATGATGTTGAGAGTTTTGTTGCTGCTGCGGAGATCCTAAAAGAGAGGGGTGCTTACAAGATCTATGTTATGGCCACTCACGGCATCCTGTCTGCTGAGGCCCCCCGCCTGATTGAGGAATCCTCCATTGATGAGGTCTGTCTCCTTCCCCGGGGCTGAGCGTTGGGTCTGAGTAAACCTTTGTTGCTGTGGTTTTTATGAATAATAAAATGACTTAGTATTAAATTGCTTAGCCCAGGGGCCGGGGAGATGGCTCAGTAGGATAAGTGCTTCCCTGGCAAGGACAAGGGCCTGAGTTCAATCCCCGGTTCTGCAAAAATAAATAAATAAATAAATAAATAAATAAATAAATAAATAAATATTAAAAATAAAAAAATAAATTGCTTAGCCCATTGTGGTGATGCATATCTGTCTTCCCAGCACTGTGAGCCAGGAGGATCATACATTCAAGTCCAGGCCAGAAATACATAACAGTTGGCTTCAGTACTTTCATTTGGTGCTGTAGTAGTGTAAGGGACTTGAATTCTTTACTGGTAATGGAAAAATTTGGAAAGTGCTGGCATTCACTATATTCTTTCATGTAGACATGACATATCTAGAACTTGTGTTCTGGATCATGTAACCTTTCTCCTGTGTAAAGCCAGTGTCATTTATAAAGCTTCACTAAATGGAAAAGAGTTTCACAATTTAGAACTTGGTCTGTGAGTACAAATGCTAGATGTGGTATTCTGAGTAGCCAATTAAAGGTAGACATTAATAGCAATTTATGTTCTGTTGCTGTATGATTAGGTCGTGGTGACGAATACTGTCCCTCATGAGATCCAGAAGCTGCAGTGTCCCAAGATAAAGACTGTGGATATCAGTTTGATTCTTTCTGAAGCAATCCGGAGAATCCACAATGGAGAGTCCATGGCTTACCTTTTCCGAAACATCACAGTGGATGACTAAGTGGCTGTCACGCTAGCGCCCTGAAGGAGCAGGAGCGAAACATGTACAGAGCGTGCCCTCAGTCACACACACACAGTGTTTGTTTTCAGGGATGGAATGGAAATAGTGAGGAGCTAGGTATTTTTCTTGCCAAGCTTCAGTAGAGGGGACGTTCAGATAGTAAAAAAGACCAAGCTAGTGATAAACAACATGGCCTTAAATGTCTCCCATCGCAGCCTCTGCAGAAGTTACAGATACTCTCCTGGAAAGCCTGGGAAAGTTGTTACATTGAAGAGGAGTTAAAAGCAGATAAAGTGTTATCTCTGTGTGTTCGTCTGTTTCCGCTCCCGAGAATGCAGGTGTGGTGTTGAACTTCGCTGGGGAGCAGAGTGCCCCTGCCACTTTCTGTCCAGTTGTCCTCTACCTAGTTAAGTTCACCTAAGTTTTTTGTAGCAAAGCCTATTTTTCTTTCAGAAACTGCCAAGCCTACTGCCATGGAACAGCAAAGCATTATATTTTTTGTTTCTCCCAGGGTTATCACACTGCAGGCCATCCTTGGGTATCTGTGTCACTGTAGTTGCAAATAAAAGAATTTATTGTCTCCCTGGTCTCTACTACATTGCAGAATCCCTGCTAGGCAGATGGACTAACCTCTGCCCACACAATGCAAAAGATAGTAGCCAGAAAAAGGGCTGCCAAGGTTTATGGTGAGCAGAAAGCAAGGATCTACCACAGCCCTTTCTGCTACGTGTGCAGTCGTGGGTTTCCTTTGAATGGCTTCATCTCATGGAAGCACTTGTTTTATTTACATGTTTTCTGCTGGGATCTGGTATGGGAAGTCCAGGGCCCTGGGCCTCTAGTGCTGCTTAATAAAGAGCTGTGACGGTGGCACTCAGATGAGTGTTTTGGGATAAAGTGGGTTTGGGTGGCACAGGAAAGTCTGTCTTCCGGTGGCTGATTGGAGCCACCTGCATCGTGGATCATCTTGTCCAAGTTCCCTGCCTTGACTAAACCTGGTATGGGAACTGTCCTCAAGGGGCCATTTTTCCAGGCCCGCTTCCCTCAGATGTTATGGCCCTGCTGAATGGGACAACAGTGGAGCTGATGGTACAAGGATGGTGGCCACAGTATCCCTTAAATCGTTCTGTAGTGGCCCCTCACGAGTGGGTGACTGTGGACCTTCCTCGGTGACTTAAAGAGTGCCCCACAGGCTGATGTGCTCCTAATGCAGACGCCCCACACCACCTGTGGGAATGTTTTCAAAACAAAAATTAGTGGCGTGGGCCAGTGAGATGGTTCAGCGGTCTAAAGTGCCTGCTTAGGCTGGTCAAGGAACGGTCCCCAGCACCACATGCCATGCCAGCCCCACCCTCAGGGCAGTCTTGGGGAGGGGGGGATTAGTGCGGTCAAGGATTCCTGAGACCCCTGGGCTGAGTTTCGCCTTTGTTCTGCTGCAGGAGAGTTCTCAGTTCTAGGTGGAGCCACATTCTTACAGTCCTGTGACGTGGGACCTCCCAGTCCCAAACGTTCTGTGGCGTGAGTTGGCGTCAGGGGCGGGGCGGAGGCCTACGGGAAGGCCCGGCGGACCCTGTCCTGGCGCGAGGCGCAGATACCAGGCAGCCAGTTCTGAGGTGCCAGGTTCAGTCCTGTGACTGTCGCTCTGCAGCTAGGGGTGGGGCGAGGAAGCCCGGTAACCTCGAAGAGTCCTCAAAAGACCCAGAAGCACGAGCAGGAGTGAGGTGTACCTCTCCCAACAGAGCTCGTGATGCCACCCGTGACGCCGGTCAACAGGGTCTCCCTTAGGGAGCTCGCTGACCTGGCCATTGGCACCCCAGAGGTGGGCGCCGTCAACTTCACAGCCCTGCATACTCTCATTGTGGCCATCCTCAAAAACCTCAACCTCCAAGAGACACTCATCGACATCCAGACCCTGTCGCCCGAGGGAGGCCACTCGATCGAGTCCTTCCGCTCAGTGGAGCCGCTCCGAGCCTCGTACAGCGGGCTTCTCAGCACACCGCAGTTACAGCCGAGCAAAGAGAAGCGCAGGGCTGCCAGCAGGTCATCCCAGAGCTTGGAGATCCAGGTGAAGGACCTGGGCGGGCAGGTGCAGGACCTCACCAAGCAGCTCAAGGCTGTGGACAGCCAGGTGCAGGTCATCGTCACCCACGTGCAGCACATCACCTCGCAGCCCATGGAGTTCGACTTGGAGTCCTCCACGGCCCTGGAGGAAAAGGACACGGCCATGCCAGACACAGAGGAGACTCAGATAAGATTGATTAAGGTGCAGGAGGACGTAAAGAAGGTCAGCACCCCAAGATGTGGGAGGGAGACCCGCAGGCCCACTGCCTCTCCGGTCCTGGCAGGAGCTAAGCCTTGAGCTGCTGCAGTGGCCTGGAGAGGCTGAGCCCCGAAAGAAGTGGGCCAGGCATCCTATGCCTGGTTCCGTGCAGCCTTGCTCTGCCTTGCAGCCCGTGGACGTGCTCCAGGATATGGAAGATGTGAAAAGCTTGAAAGAAGCCCACACAAAAGCACAGGCGTTAAAACCACAGGTTCTGGTACCCGAGGATACGGTACCCAAGGATCTGATCTCTGGAGTAAGAAACTTCACATGCCCCTCCCCCCTTGCCCCTTTTCCAGTGCTCCCCCACCACTTATCAGACACCCAAGAACCTAAGCTAACTCACAGATGAGCCAGCCACACCTCAGAATATTCTTAAAGTTAATTCCTCTTTAAAAAGAAGCCCAGGGGCCGGGGGAAATGGTTCTGGGGCAGGGGAGATGGCTCAGTAGAGTAAGTGCTTTACTGGCAAGCGCAAGGGCCTGAGTTCATTTCCCGATTCTGAAGGAAAAAAAAGAAGAAGAAGCCCTACAGGGCTGGCCAAATAGCTCAGCGAATTAAAGTGGGCCTGCTTGGGCTGGTGAGATGGCTCAGTGGTCTAAAGCGCCTACTTGGAACAAGCTTAGCAAAGCACAGGGACCGCGGTTCAAACCCCCAGCACCACATGCCAGCCAGCCCCGCCCCCTGGTGGGCTGAGCTGGCCACACACACACACACACATAAATAAAAATTAAAAATAAAAAATAAAAAAAATAAAGTGGGCCTGCTTGGGTGCAGGGACCAGGGGTTTGTGCGGGCCTCGTTCCCCCGGCTCGCTGACATGGCAATTAAGAATGGGCGAGATCGTGGTGGTGCGCGCCTCTAAGCCCAGCTCTTGGGAGGCTATAAACAGGCGAATCACTCTGAGTCCAATCTAGTAGTGAGACCCTGAACACCCTGCAGACCCTTCCCTAAAATAAAAATTTAAAAAAAAAAAAAAAAAAAGCAGCAGCAGGCCTGCATAGTGGCATATGATTGTAATCCCAACATTTCACAAGGCTGAGACAGGAGGATTGCTGCAAATTTAAGGCCAGTCTAGGCTATATAGTAAGTCTTGGTCAGCCTGAACTACACAATGAACCCCTGTCTCAAAAAATTAATTAAAGAGTTAAGAGGAGAAAAGCCGGTGTGGTGGTGCATGCCTGTAATCCCAGCACTCAGTAGGCTGAGGCACAAGGATTGCTGCCAAGTTTGAGACCAGCCTGGGCTACAAAGTGAGTTCAAGGCCAGCCTGAACAGCAGGGCGGGAGCCTGTCTCAAAAACCAAAACAACAACAAAAAATGAAGGCTGGCCAGATAGTTTAAGGGATTAAAGTGCCTTCTTAGGTAGACGCAGGGACCGGAGTTCGATTTGATTCCTGGTATGCCATACTGGCCCTGCCTCTGGGGTACACTGAGATGGCGATTGAGACTGGGCGTGGTGGCCTGCCCCTATAATACCAGTGTTTGGAAGGCTGAAAACAGGAGAATCCCTACGAATCTGATCTGTGTAGTGAGATACTGTAGACCCTGTACTAAATACATTTTTAAAAAAACCAAAAAACCGCAAAATGAGTTAAGGAAACCTAGACTCTGAGAGGCTAAAATAGAAAGATTTTAAATTCAAGCCAAGCCTGGGTAATTTAGTAAAACTGTCCTAAAATAAAAAATAAGGGGCTGGGGATATAGCTCAGTGGCACAAGCACCTGACTGGCAAGTGCAAGTCCTGAGTTTGATTCCTGGTACCAAAATAAATAAAAATAAAATTTGAAAAGAATGGGGAATGTGGCTAGTGTGAAACCCTGAGTTCAATCCCACACATGAAAAGAAGGGAGGAGGAGGAGGAGGGGCAGGAGAAGAGGAAGGGTAGGGGAACCGCGTGCTCGCAGCGCATGCCTGTAATCCCTCTGCCTGGGGGTTCATCCTGGCGTGGAGATATAGCTCAGTACAAAGACCATGCACTCAATTCCCAGTACTACAAAACAAACAAATAATAAATAATAACAAAATAATAACAAAAAGAAAGAAAAAAGAAGAGACCAAGTGTGGTGGTTCGTGCCTGTGATCCCGTCTACTCTGGAGGCTGAGCATGAAGATCACAAGTACAATGCCAGCCTCGTGCAACTTAGTGAGAACTTGTCTTGGAATGAAGGAAAAAACAGGGTGAACTTGCCTAGTGGCGTGAGGCCGTTCACGCCCTAGTACCAATCAAAAATAATACAAATCGGGTAGTAGGCTTTGAAGGCAACAGCCCTGTCTACAAGGAGAGGGTTAGGATGCGGAGTTGACCACCGTAGGGCAATATCCTGATGGACACAGGACACAGCAGGCAGGGGACAGACTCCGCTGGCCTCTGGTTTCCG